ATATCAGCTCTGTACATGCGAGCTCTTGCTTGACAGCCTTCAAAGTTGGCAGAATAATTAGCTACATCAGTGTCCATATTGAGGTCAATTTTCAGAGTAAGAAGGCTTGTACTGTCAAAGCTATGGTTTTGTTTGTATTGTTACTTCCAAAATAGGATACAAGCCGTGGCTGAGCCAGCTATCCCATCAAGGAGCTGGCTCATAAGCGGGGTGCAGCCGCTGGGGACACCCAAGCAGTGAGAACAGCTCCGCTTGGCTACTTTTGGCTTGGCTCGCGTGGCTCAGCCAAGCCGAGCCAAGCTCCGGCAACACTATCGACGAGCAGCCATTGAACAGTGATTGAGCATGCTGAGCTACTACATCTGCATTGTATCAATGTCTAGCTACTGCAATTGACTGGATTCACTTGTTTATTGCATTATGGACTGACTTTTTTACTTATTACTGTTCTTTCACCTATCTAGCTAAGTTTACGAGGAGCGAGAACAGCGCTCTGTATCAACTGTATTGTGAGCCTAGCGCTCGTCATGACAAATTAAGCTAGATATTATTGCTAAATATGCCCCCATAACCAAGTGGTAACTATAGCCAAGTCAGTAAGCACGTCATAACAAAGTAAGTAATCAATAGGTTCAGAGTTCGATTCCCTCTAATAACAATTGTTAAACAGTACAAAGTAACAACACAACTACAAATCCGCAGATCGACTAGTAAGAAAATCGCACATTACAATTGAGCTATGAGCTCACTACAAATTTTTGTTTCATTTACAATTGAGTGGTACCTTACAATTGTCCCTTTGCGTTAAAATGGTCACGTCTTGTATTATAGTACATTTCTCCTTGATTATAATTGGATTATAATTCGTTCAGGTGATTACGTGCCTTACCTGCCTTATAAGGCTTCCCAGGTTTTTCTGACAAATGCTTCAGCCACAGCTGTCACGTTTGACGCGGCACGTGCCTAAAAGCAGTATATATATACCTTTAGTTTCTCATATAATAATGCCTTCATGGCTCAGTTGGCTTGAGTGCTGTTTACATTCACGAGGTCGAGAGTTCAATTCCTCGAGATGTAAAAAAAATTATTTTACTTAAATATAGTAAGGACACTGTATTCTAATGGTATAATAGTCATTAATTCCTTCCATGGAATCCATATGGACTGCTCCATGGAATCCATGTGGATATGCCTGCATTCCATATGGAATTAATCATTCCATGACCATTCCAGCATCATTCCATATGGAATCCATGATGTCCAGGGAATCAGAAACTGGCTGTGTCCTCAGCCAACATTGATTCCATGGATTCCATATGGAATTCTTCATGGATTCCATGGATTCCACATGGATTCCATATGGATTATACCGGGGAAGGTAAAGACCTCGTTTGAGGTTGAAGTGCACGAGGTCTCAGACTTTCAACCCACTCGACAATGACCCTGGCACGTATTTCCTGGGCTCGTCAAGCAAATCAGGATGAATTCGGGCGAAATCAATGAAGGAACGCTGGCCTGTAGAATCACTTTTTGTTGTCTTGCTCGCTGGGGCCTCAAGGTCTGGTGTGGGTGCGTTCCTAATCCAAGTTTTTGCCTGAAACAGAACCATTGAGGCTAGTTGTTGTGATGGAGTGTTCACACGTGTCAGTATCATCCCCAGCTGGTGGTTGGCCCAAGTGCTGCTGACGGATCCTGTTCTAAGACGAACATGCTGAGATCAACCTGTAGCGCCGTAGGGGTGACTCTGTGGTATGTTTCGTTATTACATCTATTCATCGAGGCTAGTTGAACTGGTGTCCTCCAACAGCCCTTCTTCGCACATAAACTCTATCAAATGGACTACAGTTGTAACACAAAAGAGTTTTCCATGCTAGATAAATTCCTTCCCCAAGTAAGCAGCATATGACCAAGACGACCCTTCAATATTTAATCTGTATCTCTAGCTATAACCACAGGAAACTCTCAACAGGCCAACAGTCACCCGAGCAGTGAACAACCAATCAAAAGCTGGTACCTCCAACGTCAACGCTAGCGCTAATCCCTCTGGTACAGGTGCATGGCCGCGAGAGGTTGGCGTACAATGTGTATTCTGGAATAGTGGAAACGGGCTTTCAGCCTCTCAGGGTATTTCTGGTCTCATGACGCCCAGTGTTTAGAAAGTATTCCTTGAAAATGTGGGTCACCTCCTTCATCATGTCTCTGACCCATCATTCCAAGGTTATTCGCAACTCAGTAACATACACAGAGCACGCTGAGCGGAAGACAGTCACAACACTCGACATTGTATATGCCTTGGGACGTTCGGGGCGTATGCTTACTGTTTTGGAGCATTGATGTGATTGTTTTGTCATCCACAAGTCCCCAGGTTGTATTTTATTTTATCTATCTCTTCTCCGCATCTTCAATTCATCGCACGCATCGACACTCAGATTTTTTGCCAGTGTATCCATTATCATAATCTAATATCATTCATCTATCAAACATTCACCCCCAGACTGTTTGATTGAGTTGAGTCTGCACCCGAAGAATAGCCTTCGTCTGCCACGACAACATTTGTCATCATTGACCAATGCTGTAGCGATAGACATTCATTCTGTCACATTCAGCTTATGTCCTCTATGATAACATGAGGGGCAAGGTAACAGTGGACAATTGGAGTGAATTCACTGTAGCGTTGACCTGGTCATTGAGAACTCAATTTGACCATATGCCAGGGGTTTCTTGAAACCCCCTCGGAAACCCTGGGTTTCTACCAGAAAGGGGGGTTTCTGAATAGTTTTACCTGTACCAATAGGCAATGATATGAAAAGGAATACGTAGGCGTGAAAGAGAGGCAAAGAAAGAAGGAAGGAAATATCGTCTTCGAATGTATGTAATAATATAATCATTATCGATTTCACGCCCTATCGTTAGATTATCAGCTGTAATACTCTGACATAATTCGAATGGGCGCGAGAATGTACCTCCAACTGCACATCTAACATTAACCAGATACATGAATTCATACATCGACAGGGGCACAGTAGCAGAGAGTCTTTCATAGATACATACATATATGCGCCCTAAACTCAGATTGCGACTTGGAGGAAGCAAGTCAGATGTTACAAACGAGGCCTGGATGTCGGACCGCTGTTGAACAAAAGATGACGCATGTGCATGAGGGTGGTGAGCTCCTGAGGGCTGAATGATAACAGCATGGGATGGAAAGGAATCGAATACTGAGGACCACCATCAAACAAAAGATGAGGCGTGTGCATGACGATTTAGGGGAAGGGCTGAGAGAGCCGAATGATAATAGCATGAGATTAGAGGAATTGAATACTATTCAAGGGAGCGAGGACCACAAAAGATGAGGCCTGTGCATGACGTTCTGAGGCGAGGGTGGCGAGCTGCTGAGAGGGCTGAATGTGTTCTTTGAGACGCGGTTTGGGAAGTGGTGTGAGACCGCTTAATTGCCCGATTCGTTTGGGTTGACGGGGGCGTTGCCCCAGTTGATTAGAGGGGCTGGTGAGTAATTTCTTTCTTCTTCTTTGAACACAGATCCATCGATTTCCATGACTGAATCATCTTCATGTTGGCTTGGTTGTTGCATAGGTTCCGGCGGCGCTTTACAAGTTTTAAGATGTCTCCGGAGAGCAGTCGGAGTAGTAAATCCTTTCAAGCAACGACAAAGGTTGTCCTTGATGCCCTGGTGAACTTTGACATGGTCTAGAAGATAGTGATAAGCGCATGTGCAACAACGTCTGCAGAAGGGAGCTTACTCTTCAAGTTGGCATTTGTAGTGAAGGTTTGGGCGCATAACCTGCAAGAAAATCTCGCTAGTCTGGTCCTCCTTGCTTGACTTTCCTCTATCCTTGTCGCCGACGCAACTGTCTTGTGAGTGTCGGGGATGAAGGTGATATCTTCAGTATCTGGAAGGAGGGCGCCAAAAAGCCCTTTCGAAGAGTGCGTCTTGTGATGAGGCAGGGTGCTATATACAAAATCTGAAAGGAGACTGCCAAAAGGCCCTTCCGAGGGGCCAGTGTTCCACGACTTGGCAAAATCAGGACCGTAAATCAGGGCCTCCCATCCCTCTAGGAAGCCCCCATCGATGAAGGGTCTATCATTTCTTGATTCACCTAACAAAGTTAGCGAGTCATGAAGTGAATATTCAGAACCCGAAGGGGCAAGTGCACTACTGCTCGTAACTGGTCGACGAGAAGAAGCAGTGGTGGTGCGAGAAATTCGTTGATTTGCCCAATTGAAACGGATTTCCCCAGAGCCCAGCCTTTTGCCATTCATCGTCGCGATGGCCTGCTCTGCGTCTGTCTTGTCTACGAAGGCAAGGAAGCCATAGCCGCGAGATTTTCCAGAATTCTTGTCCCACATGACACGGGCATCCGACATGGTGCCAAAAGCACTGAAGGCCATTGCCAGATTGTCGTCATTGACCTCTGGGCTAAGATCCCCTACGAAGACATGATAACGACCTATCGTGTTCCCTAACAGCTCCCTAACCAATGGAGATGCATCTGGTTCACTTAAGTCGGTTAGAGGCATGACACCTCCCCCACTTGCAGTCTGCTGTCCATACCTTTGAGAGGTAAGCTCGGAGGTGGCATCTGACATGAGATAATCTTCATCATTAGAAGGCGCATGGACATTAACTTGGGTATCCCTGTGAATGAGTTTTCCTTTCAAAGATTCCAAGTTCGCCTTGGCAGAAGCGTCAAGCAAGTCAGGTTTGGCATTGTCATCGCGATTGTCAGTCGACTGTTTCATGAGCTGGGGAGGGGAGGAGCCTTTCAAGTCGTTATCGTCATTTTTCCTTCGCCATAATATGACCCTGATGATGGCATTGAGTAGAACATGATGTTTATTATCTAAATCGTCCGTTTTAAGCTTGAAAGCTAGTCAGTCCGTAGACCCTCAATGAGGAGAGCCAACCGAAAACTCACTTTGTTTGAAATGTGTTGCTGGTCAGATTTGTTGTCACAGCCACAATCACCAGCTGGAAGGGAGAACAATTCTTTGAAGGAAGAATTGTTCTTCAGTTTTTGGATTCGGAAGGAGATGTAGTTCCTTTCAGATTTTGTATATAGCACCCTGCCTCATCACAAGACGCACTCTTCGAAAGGGCTTTTTGGCGCCCTCCTTCCAGATACTGAAGATATCACCTTCATCCCCGACACTCACAAGACAGTTGCGTCGGCGACAAGGATAGAGGAAAGTCAAGCAAGGAGGACCAGACTAGCGAGATTTTCTTGCAGGTTATGCGCCCAAACCTTCACTACAAATGCCAACTTGAAGAGTAAGCTCCCTTCTGCAGACGTTGTTGCACATGCGCTTATCACTATCTTCTAGACCATGTCAAAGTTCACCAGGGCATCAAGGACAACCTTTGTCGTTGCTTGAAAGGATTTACTACTCCGACTGCTCTCCGGAGACATCTTAAAACTTGTAAAGCGCCGCCGGAACCTATGCAACAACCAAGCCAACATGAAGATGATTCAGTCATGGAAATCGATGGATCTGTGTTCAAAGAAGAAGAAAGAAATTACTCACCAGCCCCTCTAATCAACTGGGGCAACGCCCCCGTCAACCCAAACGAATCGGGCAATTAAGCGGTCTCACACCACTTCCCAAACCGCGTCTCAAAGAACACATTCAGCCCTCTCAGCAGCTCGCCACCCTCGCCTCAGAACGTCATGCACAGGCCTCATCTTTTGTGGTCCTCGCTCCCTTGAATAGTATTCAATTCCTCTAATCTCATGCTATTATCATTCGGCTCTCTCAGCCCTTCCCCTAAATCGTCATGCACACGCCTCATCTTTTGTTTGATGGTGGTCCTCAGTATTCGATTCCTTTCCATCCCATGCTGTTATCATTCAGCCCTCAGGAGCTCACCACCCTCATGCACATGCGTCATCTTTTGTTCAACAGCGGTCCGACATCCAGGCCTCGTTTGTAACATCTGACTTGCTTCCTCCAAGTCGCAATCTGAGTTTAGGGCGCATATATGTATGTATCTATGAAAGACTCTCTGCTACTGCGCCCCTGTCGATGTATGAATTCATGTATCTGGTTAATGTTAGATGTGCAGTTGGAGGTACATTCTCGCGCCCATTCGAATTATGTCAGAGCATTACAGCTGATAATCTAACGATAGGGCATGAAATCGATAATGATTATATTATTACATACATTCGAAGACGATATTTCCTTCCTTCTTTCTTTGCCTCTCTTTCACGCCTACGTATTCCTTTTCATATCATTGCCTATTGGTACAGGTAAAACTATTCAGAAACCCCCCTTTCTGGTAGAAACCCAGGGTTTCTGAGGGGGTTTCAAGAAACCCCTGGCATATGGTCAAATTGAGTTCTCAATGACCAGGTCAACGCTACAGTGAATTCACTCCAATTGTCCACTGTTACCTTGCCCCTCATGTTATCATAGAGGACATGAGCCGAATGTGACAGAACGAATGTTGTCGTGGCGGACGAAGGCTATTTGTCAGGCCAAGGGGGCCCCGGGATTTCAGAAACAACACGGGGTAGATTTTCTTTTGTAAGCTGTCTGTGACGTCCCCCCCCCATCACTCCTTCTAAATAAGGTATGTTTTTGTCCAAAAAGGGTATGTTTTTCCCACCGCTCTGTTGAAGAAATTTCTGGCTGAACGCGTGAACCTTAAAATGAATCACTGCTCCCTTTTCAGGTGTGCAAATCCAGCTTTTTTTCACATTTACTTTTGCCATGCAAGTCCGAGCTGAGCAAGAAAACTGGGAGGGACAACAGATTTTTCATTTCCTTTACACACTGACTTCCATGGTAAGTTATTGGTAAGTTATCAACCATTCAACTGCATTGGAGGTGCCGCTGATGCATCTAGGGTTGCTACAGGGCCCTGAATATAGATTTTCGAAGCTTATATACTAAATTTTTTTAAGGCCTGCTGGAGGTCCCCCCCCCCACCTACCTTGGGTCACAGGTCGACATCCCGGGGCCCCCTTGTGTCGGGTGCAGAGACTCAACTCAATCAAACAGTCGAGGAGTGAATCTTTGATAGATGAATGATATTAAATTATGGTAACGGATACACTGGCAGCAATAAATCTGAGTGTTGACATGCGCGATGAATCCAAGATGTGGAGAAGAAATAGATAAAATAAAATACAACCTGGGGACATGTAGATGACAAAACAATCACATCAATGCTCCAAAACAGTATAGCGTACACCCTGAATGTTTCAAGGCATATACAACGTCGAGTGCCATGACTATCTTCCGCTCAGCATGCTCTGTGTACATTACTGAGTCGCAAGTAACCTTGGAATGATGGGTCAGAGACACGATGAAGGCGACAAGTGAGGTGACCCACATTTTCAAGGAATATTTTCTAAACACCGGACGTCTCCTCGTAGATGAGACCAAAGATACCTTTCACGCCAACAGCCCAGATGCTGAAAGCCTGTCTCCACTATTCCATAATACGCAATGTATGCCAACCTCTCGCGGCCATGCGCCCATACCAGAAGGATTAGCTGCTAGTGTTGACATTGGAGGTACCAGCTTTTGGTTAGTTGTTCGCTGCTCGGGTGACTGTTGGCCTGTTGAGATTTTCCTGTGGTTGTAAGAGATACAGATCAAATATTAAAGGGTCATCTTGGTTGTATGCTGCTTACTTGGGAAATGAATCTATCTAGCATGGAAAACTCTTTTGTGTTACGACTGTAGTCCATTTGATAAAGTTTATGCACGAAGAGGGGCTGTTGGAGGACACCAGTTCAACTAGCCTCGATGAATAGATGTAATGACGAAACATACCACAGAGTCACCCCTACAGCGCTACAGGTTGATCTCAGCATGTTCATCATAGAACAGGATCCGTCAGCAGCACTTGGGCCAACTGCCAGCTGGGGATGATACTGACATGTGTGGACACTCCATCACAACAACTAGCCTCAATGGTTCTGTTTCAGGCAAAAACTTGGATTAGGAACGCACACTCACTGGACCTTGAGGCTCCAGCAAGCAAGATGACAAAAAGCAATTCCACAGGCCAGCGTTCCTTCATTGATTTCACCCGAATTCATCCTGATTTGCTTGACGAGCCTGGGAAATACATGCCAGGGTCATTGTCGAGTGGGTTGAAAGTCTGAGACCTCGCGTGCTTCAACCCCAAACCATGAATTCCTACTTGTCCGCCATTCGTTCAGGTTTGTTATACCTACTGCAGCCGGTGAGTAGATGGGAGGATGATAGTGATGAAGACATGTACTGGGAGTTAGCATGAAGTATTTTTCATGTAGAGTGAGGTAGAGTGGGTTGAGGAGGCTGGTTCAGCAGTGTCAGACTCACAAGTTGAGCATGTGGCATCACATGACGCCGTGGCCGGCGAACCCATCAAAATTTCGAGGGCATGTCAGCCACTGGGGTAGACCAGTCTACAGAGTCCACAGAGAAGGCACAGGCACCAGGGTCCAGCTCTCTCATGTTAACTAAACCCTGATTTGACACACCCTGAAATTCTCCGGTATTCTCCTGTGTTGTATGCGACGACGCCAAATGATGTTTGGCATCATCGGCCCCAAACTAGTAGGGCATTTTTAAGTCAATCACAAAGCTTTCACTGTTAAAAGAAATTGAGGAAACATTATATTTGAGTTCTAGCTATGAGTTACTGAAGAGTGCATCAAATTAAAGCCACAAAGAAAAGATTTACTCGAGCTCATCTTTGGAAACGGCGAGTAGCGAACAACGATGAAGAAACCGCCCTGAGCAGACACTTAAAGTTAAATCTATGTTATATAAGCTGATGGCTCTTGCTACACCTCAAGCTTTGAGCCAGTGCGCTCATTTTTGAATGGCCATGTTAGGTCCGCTGCTAGCATCCTATTATGAGGATGGGTGGCAAAAGGCGGACCAGGGTGCAACAAAGAGGGGCAGGCCTTTGGGCAGGCGAAGGTGCGACAAAGGTGGGCAGGTTCAGGGATGTGTCTAGATAACACGGTCAGGGATTGATGAGCTGTTTATATGAGGTTGGTGGAAAGTCGGAAAAGGCCAAGTCCACCATCAGTCTATGTAGAATGGTCTACCCCAGTGGATGCGAAGCTCTGAAAATTTCGGGGAGAGTTTGTTCAACTATCACTGGGGGCATTGGCCTATTTATTCATGGAAGATATTAAGAATAAATCATAGATAAAATAATAAATTATTCAGGGATAATATCAGCGAGGAAATGAAGAAGAAATTCAAAATTTCTTCTTCAATAACATCACCATCTGACTACAGCTTAGATCGTGAATATAATAAAAATATCTTCTGAAGATAAAAGGCTGAGGATATGCGGAAAATATTGTGACACGTCACACCTTGCACGTGCCTTGCGGGCCTGACTCCTGAAGCTATTGCTAGTGTTGTTGGCAACTTCTCGCCAGCTCGCCATGCCAGTTTCACCAGCTGGCAATCGCCGGCTGGCGAGTCAAAAAATCAAAAAAGGGTGGAGAGACCTGGTGAAATCTGTCAAAATTTCAGAGAATTACAGACATTTATGGGTGCATAAAGTATCATCTATGGTTTCCAGTGTCGGAAAATTCTAACTGCAGGCCAAACACCCCAATTTCCCTTTGAAAACCAATTGTTGTTCCTGATTTGGACACTCCAATCCATTGATCCCATCCAATTTTGACCTTTACATTACTGATGCAGACCCAAAGTTGACCCAAAGCCCTCAGGAGTGACGAAAAAATGATTGCCATTCCTGAGAAAAAAAATCAAAGATGATAACAGGATACTACCTTGAGCAAAACGACAGAAATTCAAATTTTTTCATTTGCCAGCTTTGCCAACATTCGCCGGCATTTGCCAAGCTCTCCCCTACTTGACTCGCCAGGGCGGCGAGTGGCGAATGCTTTCGGAGGTTTTGCCATCCACATTAGCCATTGCCACTCTTCAAGCGCTCTTGTTTTATTCTTCTGCTGTTCATTGGGAGTCTGTTCTTTGCTTGGGGCTCTCAAGTTCTTCTGTTTCCTGTCTCTTGACTACAGTCATGCATGTGCCAATGACACACCCAAATCGTAGAAATCATGCACTGAAAGGAATAAATAAAATTTCACAAACAAAAAGGTACAACAGTATCAACGTGTATCCCAGCTACAATATGAGAGTGATTTTAAACGAAATGAGCAAGATTTGAGAGCAGGGCAAAGGAATTGGAGGTGGCTGAGGTGAAACCGGAATTATGGGTCAATGGTACAGGGCCCGGCCTAGCCCATTCAGTCATTGTCGTCATTGTCGTCATCTCCATCGCTGCTGCTCATGCTTGCACTTCCCCCCCCCCCTCGTCGAGGTCTTTACCATCCCCCATGAGTTCCGGCGGAATCCAGCGGATTCCAAGCGGAATGTCGGAATTCCATGGAATTCCAACGGAAACTAGTTGGCTGGAGCCTCAGCCATTCTGGTTTCCAATTCCATGGAAATTCCAATGGAATCCAACGGAATCTGGTGGAAATGGTCGGAATCCGGGAGCCTCCCGGAACAGTTTCCATTGGAATCCATTGGAATTCCAACCAGATTCCATGGAATTCCAATGGAAAGTATATTCCAGTCAAATTCCAACAGATTCCGAGAGATTCCAATGGATTCCAATATTTGTTGTTGTTATTATAATATATATAAAAATAAGTGGATGCATAAGGATTGAACTCTAGCCTCGGGGAAGGTCACGTCCAAGCAGCAATATTTCCACTACACCATACGGCCGTTAAAATTCTACAAACATTTATTCCATACAACCCACCCTCACGGCCACCTTCCTAAACAAGTTGTGGTGTTCGCCGGCGTCACCATCACCATCAGTGTTTTGCTGTCAACCACAACCACAACCACCACCATCACCACGACCAGCGCACCACCACCACCAGCACACACAACGGCGAACGGCGACGACCGCCCACAACGACGGCGAACGGCGACGACGCCCACAACGACCACCCACCACCACGAACAGACGGCAACGGACAGCACACAACAACGACCAAACGACACGAGCGCCCACACCACCACCCCATCACTCCCTACCAACGACAAGCGAAGCCCACCACGTCAACGGATGCCCACGCCCACGCCAACGACGACGCGCACGACGACGTCAACGGACACGCCAACAACGACGTGCACGACCACGTCGATGGACCACCGCCACGTCAACGGACGCCAACGACGACGCCAACGGACCACCACCACGTCAACGGACGACGACGACGATGCCAACGGACGACGACGACGATGCCAACGGATGACGACGACGCCAACGGACGACGACGCCAACGGACGCGACGCCAACGGACGACGACGACGACGACGCCTCCAATGGACGACGACGCCAACGGACGACGTCGACGATGCCAACGGACGGCCACGTCAACGACGACGAGCGCGTCCCGCTCCACCACGTACACACGGCGACGAGTGTTCCTCCTCCCCCTTTTCTTTCCCTCCCCCCTTCCTGCTTTCCTTTTCCCTTCCCCTGTCCCTCCATGTACCCCTTTCCTCTCTCCTCCCTCTTTCCCTCCTCATTTCTCTGTCCCTACTCCCTTCCCCCTTCCTTTTCCCTGTCCATACTCCCTTCCCCCTTCCTTTTCCCTGTCCCTACTCCCTTCCCCCTTCCTTTTCCCTGTCCCTACTCCCTTCCCCCTTCCTTTTCCCTGTCCCTACTCCCTTCCCCCTTCCTTTTCCCTGTCCCTACTCCCTTCCCCCTTCCTTTTCCCTATCCCTACTCCCTTCCCCCTTCCTTTTCCCTGTCCCTACTCCCTTCCCCCTTCCTTTTCCCTATCCCTACTCCCTTCCCCCTTCCTTTTCCCTGTCCCTACTCCCTTCCCCCTTCCTTTTCCCTATCCCTACTCCCTTCCCCCTTCCTTTTCCCTGCCCATCCCTTCCTTCCTCCACCCCCATTTATTTCTGCCCCCCTCCCCCCCCCCTTCTTTCAACTTAGAATACAGTAAAATAATCTTTGTGTAGCACTTCAATATATGAGAATTTGAATCTATATAACTGTTCTAAGAAGAAACTTGTGAGGTTATTATAGGACAAAATATAATAATAAATTGGCTGACTACATTAGACTTACAATAAATATGATAGGCATGAATTCCATTCAGATTCCGGTGGAATCCATTGGAATTCCATTCAGAATCCAGCGGAATCCATTGGAATTCCATTCAGAATCCGGCGGAATCCACTGGAATTTGAGATTCCTACCATTCCGGCGGACTCCGGATGGAATTCCGACATTCTATGGGAGTCCGCTGGAGTCCGCCGGAACTCATGGGGGAGGGTAAAGTACTGAGCCCAGCAATGTTCACAACTGTCAGCCGACCTTGCATCTTCCATCAGCCGATATACAAATACAATGTTCAAAACTGTCAGCCGACCTTGCATAGCTTAACTATCTGATATACAAATACAATGTTCAAAACTGTCAGCTGACCTTGCATAGCTTAGCTATCAGCCGATATACAAATACAGGGACTTGACTTCCTGGGGCAGCTTCCTACTGATCGGTGTATGCTAAATCTACGTAGCTGGCCGACCCTTCTTTACCTTGATAGTGGGATCACATCGGCCAATTCATCAACACAGGGTTATTGGCCCTCATCGGCCCATCAGCAGGCACCATCAACTATGGCCTGTTTGTATTGTCGGGCCTCTCAGTGTTGGTGGGTGATTCCTACTAACTGCCCTGGGCTTTCAAGCCAGAAAAAGCCATTCATAGTAATATCTACTGTTCTGTCTCAATACATTGTTAACTTACATCATGACCTGACTTAAGGATACTTCCAGGGACCAATCAGCTCATCCTATTGCCCTGAGAGAGCTGATATCACAGTTGACTAGGTTTGGGACAGGCAAGTAGATATTACTATGAATGGCTTTTTCTGGCTTGAAAGCCAACTTGGGCATGATGTGAAATCAGAGAATAGCCTGTCCTGATGTGAAAGGCAACTTGGGTATGATGTCAAAAACTAATCATTTGGCAGTAGTAATATGTAAAGCAATTTAATCCTTCAAACCATATCCACATGGACCCAGAACCATGATTTGAGATAGGACAGTAGCTATCAATATGAAGGCATAGAATAGCCTTTCTTGATGTGAAAGACAATTTGTACATAATGTCAAAAGTAAATGCTGCAGC